GGATTAGTAGGATAGAATTTGTTTTCATAATTTTATAACAATGTGAATGATTGAAAAATGAAAGAATTAGTGCAGAAAATTGATGAATAACATCACTAAGTGTTAAAAAAAAAAAATTATTGAATTAAAGATATTTGAATATAATTTATATTGTTAATAGGATTAGTAGGATAGAATTTGTTTTTACAGTTTTATGACAATATGAATAATTGAAAGAATTACTAGAGAAAAAGAGATGAATAATATCACTAAGTACTAGGAAAAAAAATTGAATTAAAGATATTTGAATTAATATTGTTAATAGAATTAGTAGGATAGAATTTGTTTTAACAATGAGAATGATTGAAAGAATTAGTAGAGAAAAAGAGATGAATAATATCACTAAGTACTAGGAAAAAAATATATTGAATTGAAGATATTTGAATTAATATTGTATTGTATAATAGGATTAGTAGGATAAAATTTGTTTTTATAATTTTATGACAATGTGAATGATTGAAAAATGAAAGAATTAACGCAGAAAATTGATGAATAATATCACTAAGTGTTAGGACAAAAAGATATTGAATTGAAGATATTTGAATTAATATTGTTAATAGGATTAGTAGGATAGAATTTGTTTTAACAATTTTATGACAATGTGAATGATTAAAAAATAAAAGAATTAAATTGAAAAAATTTCTAGAAGTATCTCCTATCGATTTTGGAGACTTTTTCCCCCGAATCGATGTAACACAATTATGTCGAGATCTTTCCACATAGCGTTTATCAAGTAGCTAAGGAGAAACGTCTGATTTCCCAGGTGAGTTTACAATATCTGGAAACAAGTACAGATGTACATACGCTTTGCAGAATTTACTTGGTTCACTAGGAATTCGATATCATTGTTGCATATTTATTTATTCCCAGTTTCCGCTTGTTTCACGCTTCTTTATCACTGTAACTCAAATCTTTATTGAATTATTATTATCTGTTGTGATATTTCGCGTATAATTTCATTTTGAAATTATTATCCACTAATTTAAATCTCCAAATTTCTCATTTAAAAAAATTATAAATCTGGATATTTCTTAGATTCTTTTTTTTAGCGTTGTCAAATATTTCTAATTAATTATTATTTAAATGTTACAGTAAATACTATTCAAAGAGAAATTTTATACAAAAATTAATCTAATTTTTTAAACGAGAAGTGTAATTAAATTATGTAAAAGTATTGGAAATACAGAAACGTTAGGAAAAGCTTAATTTTTAACAAAAGAATATTAAGTGATAAAGTTGTAACTTATAATATAATAAAACGTAATGATATTCCTCGGCTATATTTTAGAGTTAAAACCGCCTCGTATCTCTTAGGAATATATCCTCCACAACTTTGAGAGTTGTTTCAGACCCTTGGGATTCCCGTACAAAAACCTTTTACTGCTTTTCGAAAGATCCCTGCATACAAAATCGTTACATAAGTTATTAATTATTCAATTCGATCGTCAAACATTTATAATTCACAGATCAAATAAATATTTCATTATAAATTCTTCAGGGAATCAAGAGAGTCAAAAGAGCAACGACTTTGTAAGAAACTTTTGAATTTTGACTCCGATATACATCTCACGAGTATCATTGTATCTTTTATTTAAAAAAAAGAAAAAAGGTATCTACAAGAAATATCTCCATACTACTTAAAAATTAAAAAATATATATCAATGGCTTTAATACCATTCAACAGATCAAGATTTTCAATTCTTCGTATATCTCCTCATCTTAACTTTATTCTTCTCTCTTTTAAAAAATAAAATATACACAAGTGCTACATCCTCGACGTTAAAAAATAATTCACCAAAACATTCATTCTCTTCTTTTTCTTCTGCGCGATAAATCCCAAGATCTTGATAAACGTCTCAGTTACAAGACAAGAATAATTCCAAAAAAAAAAAAAAAAAGAAGGAAAAGAGCGGCATCTCCCAAGTTTATTTCATCAAGGCCAAGTTGAAAAGAAGGGATATTAATTCGTAGTACGTAGAATCGTCCCCGTTCATTTTCCACGAGAGAGTGGAGATTTTTCGAGAGTGGACGCGTCGCGGCGAGGGTAGGAAAGAATTATTATGCGAAAAGTTCGTGCCCCTCGTTTCTTCCCTGATGGACGATTAAAACTTGCGGCGTCGAATTTACAAATTCCTTGGGGGTG